AAACAAAAAAAAAAAAAAAAAAAAAAAAAAAAAAAAAAAAAAAAAAAAAAAAAAAAAAAAAAAACACTACACTTGCATAGGTCATGACGGGGCGTATGCAAGTTTTGTAGAGTGTCACCTTATTTCTAAGGGACATTTTACTTCGCCTACATATCATCGTGTAGAGACGTCCTAGAATGAAGGCGGCACGGTCGCGTACCGTCTTAATGTGGGGGCGGAATGTCATCCTACTGTCGAGGGTGACGCCTAAGTATTTGACCTTCGGGGCCCACGGTATGGGCTGGTCGAACATCGTGATTGAGCGAACGGCGGGGGCGGAGGTGTTGACGCGCCTAGTCGGGAGAGGGATGCTCAGCGTGGTGTTCGGAGGGCGACCCCTTTTGAAGAGCACCGCTGTGCTTTTCGTGGGGTTGATGTCGATGCGCCACTTCCGGAACCACTGTCCCATGGTGGTAGCTGCAGTCTGAAGTCGTCGATGAAGCAACGCCTTCTTCCTACACGAGTAGTAGATGGCGGTGTCATCGGCGAAGAGCGCCAGATGGGTCTCCGGAGACCGGGGTATATCGTTGATATACAAACTAAATAGTAACGGGGAGAGGGCGGAGCCTTGCGGGACTCCGGCTGTGACGTGACGGGGCCGCGAACGCGTTCCCTCGACTCGATATCGGAACGAACGGTTCGACAAGTAGTCTCGTATGATGAGCACGAGTCTGTCTGGCACTCCCATGTTATACAGTTTGTATATCAAACCGTTGTGCCAGACTTTGTCGAACGCCTTCGCTATATCGAAGAAGAGGGCTCCTGTCGGAATGGTGTGCTAGCAAATTTTGTATTTTATTTATATGTCATAGACGGTCATTAGTTTGTTAGTTAAACGAAACGCAGTACGATTCCCGAGAGATGGCAGCACGATTGCGGTATCGTCGGAACTCGGCTAACTTCGTGCTACGACAGAGCCTAGCCGATGGAGGCGCGTAGACGCCATTACACACTTACCAACCAGCCCTCTTGAAGAGCGGTGCCTCCGTCCTTAGAACTGTCATTCGTTTACGTTTGCTAACATCAAGAGAAGATTTCTAAACTGTTCTAAGACAACAAACGTGATTGGTGTACTCAATATTTCTCTTAGCTCGATCGCCCTATTCGTCCTTACGATGTCTTACGATGGTGTTAAAAATTGTGGCTTCTCCGACATATATTTTTGTTCACCAAATCAGATGAATTAGGTCTTGAACTGATTAGCAGAAAGATTGAATACACCGACCTTTGGTAGGTTCATCAAGTTGCCTTCACACAGTGTTGTAACACACTTCAGCCTATGGTAGGTAACCTTGATGATATCTTGAAATAAAAGATTTTTATTTTATTTTATTTGTATTTATTTTTTTATATTATTAAACTAGACATAATCTAGAGAAATCATGTTTTCTTGCCATTGTAAAAATATTTCAATAATTTTCGTCTGTTGTCATTTAAATTATTAATTTAAAACACCCACAATGTCTAATTTTACGATTTAATTGATCAAAAGAAAACTATATTTTAAGTGTGCTTTTCAAAATTTCGTGATTAAATTCAAAGTTGAGTAATATTTAACTTTCATAAATTATTATTTAATAAAACATTCTAAACGTATAAGTTACAAACTTGATAATGATACCAAAATTTTGAGTTACTTATCCTCAACGTTCCTTCAAATCTAAAGGCAAAAATAACATATTTTACCACAATCTAAAATATACTAAATAAAAATATAATATTTAAATAAAACTATCGGAAGTTTCGAATAAAATTTAATACTAAATAAACCACAATAATTATTTACATCAAATTGATTTCATTTACAAATTGTTATAATTCTAAAACATTTGAATACGCAATTAATGCGGTACATGCTAATTGTTACCTCAAAATTTGGAGCCTGTTTGTCTAATAAAAGTGGCTATTAATATTGTCTGATAAAGGAAAATTGATTTATTTTAAATGGACATAGTACATTGCTGTTTTTATTACTAATTTTACACTGTGTTGCTATTGAAATTACTACAACTGAAAAATGAAACGGATTTTGATCTCATGGCATAGCAATTGTATACATGTAACAATTAACATGCACAAATTGAAACATAAAAAATTGACTAAATTATCGGTCTATAACTGAAAAATGAGCAGTGTAGATTAAATGACTAAATTATAACGTTTTTTTTTTTAATCTTTTTAATTTCTTAATCTCTTCAAATCAACCAAATTCCAAAAGCTTGTCCCTATGTGTAGCCTAATAAAAAATCCGTACGCGACCCAAAACTAATTTCTAAACGTGTCTACGACGAGAGGAAAACGAAAAGTTAGGATGATATCCGCTTGGAAATTTCTACAAAAATAAATAAATTACAAATATATGGAAATAAATTGTGACTTCGTACGACAAGAACGGACATTGTTCCTGTCATTACAGCGATGCCGTTACAATCGCTCCTTAAAGTGAGCTTGTACTGACAAGACTTTTAAAAATGGAAGCAGTACATTTTTTTTTTTTATTTCAATTAGCCTAATAGTATAGTCTGTTACACCGCCGCCCGGGAAATATCGTATTTTTTTTTGTTGTTTTTTTCACTGGAAGGCAGTGGTGTAACCGACGGGTTTTTTTTATTAAACCCCGTATTCGTGCTAAAACAATTTTGTACTGTTATTACTGAGGACGACACGCGTGCAACACTCACTGCCGCTTCGATCGACCCGCGGAACGGTGCTTTGTTAGAGTAGCGATTTTCTTTTTTTTTTTATAAGGAATTTTATGACATGGTAACTAAGACCTTTAGGTCAAAGTAACGATTTTCCGGCGACGCGCCGACGACGACCGTTGGCAGTTAAGGTGACAATAAAATTTTCGTTGTATTAGAATAGTTCAGAAGAGAAGGTTAGAGAACGAGGTGAAGACTGTAAAATTTATGCTAATAATTAATACAAATTGAATCGTATAGATATTTTTAAAATTGCTTTTCATTATACAGGTCAATGTGGGAACAAATAAAATATCACTTCAATTATTTTTTATCTTTTTGTTTCCTTTACTAAAAGCAACCTTTTTATTTATCGTTCTTAATGGGAAAGGAGGAAAGTACGAGAGAAGTTTCGACTTCAGAATCGTCGAGAAAACGCCGCTCCTAGACAGAGGCCCTTAGAATGAGATCGATATAAATTTTTAGAGGCACGGAGCGAACAGGCTTCAGTTTGTCGACGTGACGGCGCTGCTGTGCTGCTGCTTCTGTCTCCGGTGATCGTAGTTCACGAGCCGCTGACCTACCAGGTACTTGTCGTTCTTTATGTGTTCGTATAGTTTTCTGAACTGGCGGATCTGCGAATAAAGATCCGTTCGTATTTATTTAATACTAGCTCCATAGATATCTAATACTATACTAGTGGTCCCCAAGTGGTCGAAATTTGACTAGAATTAATTGAAATTATCAGTTTGAAAATTATTAAGGTTCTATTGTCAAATACTTCTGTAGATCTCGCCAAAACGTAACGTTTTACGTAACATAGATATTATATAGACGGTAGTGGTGGTGGTGGTGGTGGTGGTACCTGGAAGGCCGCTAGCGAGGCGAAGAGCGCGGCGAGGAGCAGCGCGGGGTAGAGGCGGCGCACGAGCAGGTTGCGCTGGGCGGCCCCTGACACCAGCACGGGCGCCACGCTGTGCGCCGCCGCGTACGGCACCGCCAGCGCCAGCCCCAGCCACCGCACCAGCGGGGCACCCACCGACCCCACGATAAACCTACACACACACACCATCAAATTATACCTATTGGAACCACACAAACAAACAACAATGTTCAAAAAACAAAGAGCTACTTAAGTTAAAAATGAATAATTAAATAGTTAGGGGATATATTATAATCAACGTTACTTGTTTTGCAAATCAATAAACCAAAGAGCCGACATACACAAATAAGAGACTTCGCGAATAACAAAACAGTCAAAGCAGTAATTAATAGGACATCTCAGATATATATTCATCTCTTTCCTGCACTAAATCAAACTGATGTTCCAACATTCGCACGACAGAGAGGTTTTTCTTAGCCCATCTCGAAAAGATTCGAAATCCTCGTTTAGCACTTAAGACGTAAATTTAACTAAAAACGATAATTCAAACAATTTTTTTTTCTCCTAACTACGCCGAAAGTTCGGTTTTCCTTCCGCTGTACAGGGAAGAAAGTCTAACTTTTCCTCCCGCTGTACAGGGAAGAAAGTCTCCCGCTGCACAGGGAAGAAAGTCTAACTTTTCCTCCCGCTGTACAGGAAAGAAAGTCTAACTTTTCCTCCCGCTGCACAGGGAAGAAAGTCTAATTTTTTCTACCGCTGTACAGGGAAGAAAGTCTAACTTTTCCTCCCGTTGTACAGGGTTAAAAGTGTAATTTCTCCTCCTTGGGTACTGACAAGTGCGCATGCGCGTTAGTGTCTACGTCTGCTCTCACGCACCTAAAATTATCCGCCATTGTTGTGCTCGGGTAATTTGCAATATTGTGTTTAGTGTAAAGGTGAAATAAACAAAAGGCAATAAAATTTAATAGTGAAAGTATTAAACAAAGATGAGTTCATCAGACAGTTCTTATTTAATTAGTAGTATGTAGTTTATTTAAAAATTAAAAAACAGTTAAATTGTTTTTTATGAGTATGAGGAGGCTCTACTCCCCCTTCCCCCTGCCGGGGCTTCGCCCCTGGACCCCGGACTCTACGAACTTTCGGCCTGGTAGGAGAAAAAATAGTATGTGCACCGTGGGAAAAAAGTAGGACATCTAATCCCGCGTGTTTGCCATTTTACACCCGGGTGGAGATGACCTACTTTTATTAGTAGGTGAGCTCACGGGGCTCAAACCTGACGACGTTGATCTGAGACCTTAGAATTTATATCTCAAGGTGGGTGGCGCATTTACGTTGTAGATGTCTATGGGCTCCAGTAACCACTTAACACCAGGTGGGCTGTGAGCTCGTCCACCCATCTAAGCAATAAAAAACAAAATAAAAAAAAAACAAAAATAAAACAAACCTTAAATCCATTTCTCTGATGCCGTCCCGGTACGCTTTCTCGAGGGCACGGCGCATGCTCCAATCGGGTCCCATCATCGTGAGGGCGCACATTATCTTCGTATACAACACGCCCAGAGCCCAATCTTGCCACACGAATAACACAGGGGACTGCTCCAAGGGAACGCTCAGTGGTATTACGAGAACCTAGGTAGAAAGTCAACTTAAAGACACACACCAAAGACCGATCTTCGAAACGAAAAATATTATGAGATATAATTTAAGCTATCAGCTTAGGTAGGAAAAAAAAATGATCCAAAAGTGTAGGTGGTGTTGCAACTGACCAGTTCGAGCAGCAAGCCGAACATGAGCGGCACCAGCCCGAGCAGTAGCACGGCGGCGAGCGCGGCGCGGGCGGCCGTGCGGGCCCACACCGCGGCGCGCGACCACAAGCCCCCGCGCGCCCCGCCCCGCGCCCACCCCGCCGCCGCCACGCCCGCCCGCCCCGCCGCCCAGCTCACGTACATACCTGCACAGGACGTATTGTCATGAGGGGGGGAACCAGGAGCTCTTTTTAAATAATAGTTTAAAAAAACTAAAAAACACGCTTCATATAAAATTCAACTAAAAATTTAAAATAAATTTAAAATTTTTTAAATTGTATATAGTGTAAAAAAATTATATTTTATTGTAAAAAAAGCGAAAAATCTTGGTGTTATCATTGACCGCAGTTTGTCATGGGGACCACAACTGGTGTCAGTCAGTCGCAAACTGTTTTCCTCTGCAGGTTCCTTACGTAGGTTGCGTAATTTTCTTC